GGTTGCAAGCTTCCTGCTTTTGTCTAACTATGATGAGGTCAAAATGAATTTTGTTGTGTGTTCAATATGTATTGATGACAGAAATTAAGAGAATGACACACTGAGCATAGAGGGTCGTTTTTAAGTAGATGACTCGTCAGGTGGTTGGAGCGGGACATCTTTGCAGAAAAAAGAACATGAATAAGCTTGTTCTATAAAGAGTTGCCTTTTTTATCAGGAATACCAAATCATTTTAACCTCCAGCATATGTCGGATGCATGAAGATACAATACTCTTGTCTGAGTAGGTAGAGCCGCCAAAGATCAAAGAATCTGATGGTATGCAGAAATCGGCATTATTTAGATCACTGTAGTCATAGCTTACCTTGCGAAAGTTCTCGGACACAATTCCGTCATTTTCAGACATGGACAGTTCTTGTACAACTTTCTCCAGTCCTTTGCTAATAGCTTGCATTTCCTCTGCAAGAAATTTAAGTTGTATCTGCAGAAAATTTTTAATGAGACCACTGTCAGTCATATTTCTACAGTGACTTTATAATTGGTTGGTCCAAATAACGATACCTTTGCTGCAGGTTCCAAGCTAGACAGATCTTTAGAAAAATCTAGCAGTTCGGGCAATTTGTCAGCAAGTACCTGACAGAGAAAATGTCGTCAAGCATATTGTAAAATATGCTGGTTGCTAGCATAAATCAAAGACATTTTGCAAAGTTATAAATAGTTAAATATCAGCACAATGACATGGAAAAGTGAATAAAAAAACAATAGTTACCATTAGCATTTTACAAGGAAAAGCTTCATACTGGTCAGGGTCTAAGTGCTAGAGGAGAATTTAACACCAATAGGATAAGATATCAGGAAGTACCACGCGCCAGCAGATTTTGAGGATAGAGATTAATTACATAGATTGATTTGATAAAAGTGAGGAAGCTGATAACAATGTTCACAAAAAGAATAAGTTTTGTGATTGAATGCATGTCGTGAAGGAAGATCTGTCTCCGTCGATCTAGTCATTATTCCTTTTTGTTCCTTATCAAATAAGACCTCCGTTCTGCCTTTCAGTTAAACTTATTAAAATCAAGTGATATGCAAATTCAGACAAATCCAGTTAAAGAGATAATCCCTGGTTTGAAAAGAATTGAGCTCCACAACACACTTCAAGACACTAATTCTTTTTCCTCAAGCTGACCAGTTAGGATTGAATTTATAGTTTATTTTTAGTAACTTCAGATATAGACACTTTTAGCTAGATAAATTACGATAGAAAAAAAAGTCACACATAATCCCTGGGACACAATTGAAAAGGACCTGATGACAGAAGGTGCAATCAGCTGATCTGATTGGGTAAATTTAGGTCACAGAAAAGAGATGATTTACTCATGCTCAACATAGGTGATTCCTACCAAAGGAGCAAAAATCCTTGAAAGCTGTGTACATTCTACTAATCACTGTACAAGCATCACGGATTTTTATGTCAGCATTTCCTTAATGAAATGTTATGACTCAAGTAGCAATGGTTTATTTCAGAAATGGATAATTCTTTTACTTTGTTAATTTTCCCTCACAAGTTGGACAGCATTCCACTAAACTAAAGAGTATTAATGGCTGGGCCAAGGAAAACCATCAGATCTGCCAAGAAATTGCGACTAAGTGAACTGATTTTATTCTGCTCAAGATAGGAAGAAATCTGAGCACAATACAAAACACAACAACATCCCAGTGTATTCCCACAAGTGCGATCTGGGCACAATACAAAACACCACATCCAAAATATTCGCCAACCACATCATTATGCTTTCACAAGAAGACTACCAACCAAAGACTTTACCTTGCAAAGATAATGCATGAGTGTCATCTTATTGTTCCGCGCACGTGTCTCTGTTAGTTTAAGGAGGCTATCTAACCTGAATCCAACAGCAGACCCTACACAAAAGCATCAAGATATCATTAGATGAAGAAAAGATTTCCCAAAGTCCAAAGAGAAAACTAAGTTGTGAGAACTCATTTATCATCTAACTGAAGCAGGGAATTGTTCAATAATTTCAAAACCAGAAAAGCCAATGGAGAAGACAATTGTGGAGATTTTCATCTCACAATAAAAGCTTTGAGAGATACCCAGTTGCTTTATTTGACAAGTTCTCCTCATCTCTAGAGTAAAGATTTCAACTGCTGAACAAGTCCTCAACTTGGAAATATCTTAGTGGGAACAGTTCCCCAAAACGTTCACAATAAGTTGGAGTTCACAGATGCTATTCAACTCCCAATAAGACGTAACAACGAAGAAATAAATAGCAAGATAAGCTTGAGTTGAAAGAGATTGTTAACCCAACCTCTGGCGGTTCCCTGGTTCAAAGCATTTCCGAGAGAGAGAATTGTCTGCATAATCCTTTTCAATTTTGATGAACCCTTGATCTGATTACAACATCAGAGGAAAGATGAAATCAAGGACAGTGTCAAGAAAGCAATCCCTAGTCTTATCTAATGGTAAAACATTAATAGTTAGAAAAGAAAATGTACCTGATCAGCCGCCGAATTCACAATATTCAGACTCTTCCTTAGCTCAGAAACCTGAAATTAAAGCAGAACGAATACGCCATCAGCTAGGAAGTGTGAAACACTCCCACTGCAGCAAAAAGGCAGTAGATGTGACATCTTCTCACCTGAGATTCAAACTGAATCTTAAACGAAAAAACTCGCAGCTTGGACTCTATTCGTGGTACTTGCATCAACTCTAACATGAACTGAGACAATGAAAAGATCTTAGAATTAGATGTCAATACATAAACGGTCCAATCAACTCCATGCAGGAGAAAGTGGGGCAGTAAACCAAAATAAGGAAATAAGTTAGTTCACAATGGACAGACCTGTTCACATCGACCCAACTTCTCCTTCTCTCCTTTATAACCCTGAAACAGATATGTTAAACAAAGCAACGTTGTTCACATGGTCCTATATACATCAAGTTATAAGTGTTCCTCTCTTTTTTTCAAACAGATATTTCACCTTGAGAGTTTCCATCTCCTCCTTAGTCGGGCAAAACTTAATCAGATTCTCCACCTGATCCACATCTAATGCTGAATCTTCCAGTGCAAGAACTGAGCTCTGTTGAAAATTTTAAAAGTGATAGCTAACAATTAGAAGCACAATTCAAGTTTTAACAAAACATTATACACAGATTGACATCTATTTGTGTGTGCGTGCGTACACCATTCTTGGAAATAATCACGTGTCAGTATAACTCAACTATATGAATGAGTATACGGTCCAGGGAACATCACAAAGAAAGATGAGAGGAAGAGGGGTGGAGGAGGTTAAAATAAGGAAAACATTTGACATGCAAAAAGTGCACAAACCCACCCAAACTTGGTTATCACAAGATTCAACACTTGGAAGTACAAATACCTTTTATTTTGGGATAGGTGACACTAGAATAGTTTTGCTTTCTTTAAATATCAGATTATATTTAAATCAGCAGGGACATGTACATTGGTTATACAATAAAGTGTGGTCTTAGGATAGCAAAAAGCGTGAGTTTTTGACCAAGACAATTAAGCAGTACAGAGTCCAAATCAATTGTAAGCTTATTACAGAGGTTTATTAGAAAATTGAACAGCTCGTGAGAAAATCTCCAACAAGGTCAACAATGTGATTGTTATTCCTATTTCTGAAAGGAAGTTTAACATAATAATTGAGAAAATAGAAAGGGAGTGCAATTATAAAGTTGAACAGATCTAGGAACAATGGAAAAAGTTTCCTGTATTTTCTTATTAGGAGGACAAAAATCAATAACACCGGAATATATAAAATCATGGGACAAGTAACGTGCTTTAAATTTTAGAATTTCAAGTGTGAAATGAATCACTGTGATAATAGCGCCACCCTATTGCTATAGAGAGGTGGATAGATAAGTACCCAAGATACTATGGCAGAGATGAATCTGAACAATTGGTACAACCAGCTATAGGTCAGAGATTATATTCTAGGATAACCAGATTATCCAAAAAGAAAGTCAATTGTATATGAATACAGCTTACCAGCATATCATGCAGTGGTATTTTCACCTTAGAAAGCATGATTTCACAATTATAAGCCCGTCTATGATCAACCTGCCAAAATAGAATTCAGGTAAAATCTCTCTTAAAACTTGGACGAGCTGAAACAATGACACGGTTACATCTTTCCTCCACATCTATATGTGAAGCGATTAAATGCAGTAGCTTCCACAAAGCTATACGAGTATCAGTCGGGATGGGTTAGATGAGATGTTACTCGTGAATAGGAAGATTTCACTGAATCCTTGACAAAGAAGCTTAGATAATTTGTGGAAAACAAACTCGGAAGCACAATTTAAAAATATTGTTTGTCCAACCAGCATGGATATATAACTGTAAAAGATCCCAATCTATAGGCCAAAGAAAAAAGAATTTGTTAATTAGGTTTTTTGCGGTAAAGAGAATGTAAATACTAGCTAGAGTAACAGCAGTAGCTTTTTTTTAAATGGCGGTGGTGTCCGGGTTAGCCTGCGCATACCTCAACTATTCCACCCGGTACTTGCTACCTTCCACCAACACAAGTATCGCGTAACTCTATCAACTTAAAAAATTTGTAAATTACACTATCAATATCTAACGAACAAGACGCTTCCATTATGAATATGAAAGTTCCATTGACCATTTATTCAAACAATGTGAATAAAAATCATAGAGTTATAATCCAATAACAGGGCTGCCTCAGTACGATGAGCTAGCCAGTTCCTTTTTTCCAATAATTATCTTTTAAAGAAAAGGGCAAACTTCCATAAGATTTGGCATCCTCAATAATGCAGCTACTATTCCTAGTATCTATAATTTAATGTTATTCAGTAATTTCAGGGATGGTTCTGAATGAATAACACATCACAAAAGCATTTAACAGCTCCAACATTTGGCATTCTTGACAATCCAACCATGGTTCATTGTGGAATTAATATTTACGATAGTATGGAAAATTTAAGTATCATTCCAAGTTAACAGTATGACACTCCTATATAAACATTACATATATCAAGTGAAGTTACATAAGGAAATAAGGATCACTTGGAGCAAGCGTGCCTAGAGATAAGAGGCGTCACTACGACACGTCAGCATTGTGCTCCTCCTTTCACAAACTTAGGCTTTTAGGAATAAAACTCCATGGGATTTCAGCCGGAGAATTTCACTCCAGAAGCCCTTTCGGAAAAAAGTTTCTTAAGGTGAAAACTAGCTGAACTAAAAAGGATCCACTTGAAAGCACAGAATAGTGTCAAGAAAGAGGGATTGGGGAACTAGATGCACGGAAGGATGATAAAAAAATACAAGAACATGATCAGAAAGTGTATATATTGGAATTAGACTGTTCATAACATTTAATACTTTGAGATTAATGTCAAATAATGTCAAACCAGGAACAGTGCAAATGACTTAAGCGAGATAAACTGATTCAGGGAAACTTTGCACGTATAATTATAAGGAAACTCAGATGTCATATAGACATAAATAATTACCAGCTGCACTTTCTCCGGCTTCTGCCCCATTGAGGTCCTCGAATTCCTTTTCCCACCTGGACCGCCTTGTCCTGAAGTTGGAACTGCAGCTGAAAAGAGAGATTCAAGCTCTGATATATCAATCTCTGGTGCCCTATCAAACAGAAATCGAAGGACATGAGACATTGTATCTGAAAGAATCTAAAAGAATAAAAATGATTTGACTGATGACTACTTTCACACTCAAAGTTAGCACCTACTTGGGAGCATCACTACATTTTTGAGCCTCCGCCCACAAGCTTCCTGAAACTGCTCTAGATATCTTTAACCAGTGTAATGGCTTCAGTTTCTTTGACGACTGGCTTCTTGAATTCATGGTACGAGATAATGGTCCTCGGCCCTTTAGGCCAGGCGGAGGAGCAGAAGGTGGGGGCGGAGATGGAGAAGTAGGGAGATTACTACCTTTTGATGCTGACTGTGTCGGACCAGAACCCGGTTTTAGATCCGTCTTAAGAGAAGGGAATGGAGGAGGTGGAGCTGAAGGAACACTCTGTGGAGAGCCCAATGCAGGAGGAGGAGGAGGCAGTGGCACTGCAGATATATTCGTATGCTTAGAAGCTGCAGCAGGCAACGGAGGGGGTGGTGGTGGAGAGGGTCCACCACTACACGAGGAGTTCTCCTTCATAGGTTGCCCAGGAAGAGGTGGAGGGGGAAGTGGTGGCACTCCACTTTGGGAAACAACTTTTTCCTTCAAAGGTGGAGTGGGTGGAGGTGGAGGTTGAGGTGATCCACCAATAGAGGCAGAATTTGCATTCAATATTGGGGTTGTAGTCAACTGGCATGGGGTTGGTAGTACTCCGCCGCTGGACACTACTTTTCCCTTCAAAGGTGGCGTGGGTGGAGGTGGAGGTTGAGGCGATCCACAAATAGAGGCAGAATTCACATTCAAGATTGGGGTTGTAGTCAACTGGCATGGGGGGGGTGGTACTCCACCGCTGGAAACTACTTTTTCCTTCAAAGGTGGCGTAGATGGAGGTTGAGGCGGTCCATTGATAGAGCCAGAATTTGCATTTAATATTGGAGCTGTAGTCAATTGGCATGGAGGTGGAGGTGGAGGTGGAGGCGGTAGTGGCTTATCTCTAAAAGCTAAACTTTCCTTCAAAGCTGGGACTGGTTCAAGCGGTCCACCACTACAGGCAGAATTCTTGTTCAACACAGGGGTGGTAAGTAATGGGTATGGGTCTCGAGGAAGAGGAGGCGGAGGTGGTGAAGGTGATGACACACCTCTGAAAGATGAATGTTCCTTCAAAAGTGGGGTAGGAGGAGCAGGTGGCTGAGGTGATCCACCAACAGGAGCAAAACTCTCATTCAATATAGGGGTTGGACGCTGTGGAGGTGGAGGTGGAGGTGGCGGTGGCGGTGGTGAAATATTGCTCCTATGGATGACTTTTTGTTCCATAGGTTTGATAAAGGGAATGGCAGCTGATGGAGAAGAGGAACTGGGAGATGGAGCTACGGATGGAGGACAACTTCCAGAAGGATGAGGAGGTGGAGTAGGTTCCCTTTTAGCAGCTTCATCAGCTGGCTGCTGCATTGTTACAGGAAGCAGAGATGTATCAAGTTGAGACATAGTAGGTCTGTCTTCCTTCAAGGATACAATTGCAGGACCTTCGGTTCTGGGTGGAGTAGCCGGAGATGCAGAAGGTACAGTTCCTGTGACTAATTTATCCTTCATGGGAGGAGTGAGCGGTGCTGGTGCCACCGGGGGAGGAGATAGAGATAGTCCAGTACAATGAGGAGGTGGAGCAGGTTCCATTTTAGCAGCTTCATCAGCTGGCTGCTGCACTGTTGGATGAAGCAGAGATGTATCAGGTTGAGACTTAGTAGGTCTGTCCTTCAAGGATTCAATTGGGGGGCCTTGGGTTCTGGGAGGAGTAGCCTGAGAGGCAAAAGGTACAGTTGCAGTGACTAATTTATCCTTCGCGGGAGGAGTGAGCAGTGCTGCCACTGGTGGAGGAGATAGAGATGGTCCAGTACCAACACCCTGATCCTTTCCAGGTAAGGGTGAGGATGGAGGCGAAGTTGAAATACTAGTCTTAAACGGCAGACTCTTGGTTTCAGGTAGGGAAGGGAAGTCACTCAGCTTACCACATTCTTGTATATGAGGATCCAACTCTTTTACAAGTGGAGGACGTCCTGATGTTGGGAGAACATGCGGAGATGGTTGTGATGACTCAGAAGAAGCACTAGATTCTGTACTAAGGTCAGCAGGAGAAGGTTTTGAAAGAGGGATTGATGGCTGCAATTTTGATACCTTCATCTCACTTCTGGTTCCCACAAATTGAGATTCAGCTTTCTGTTGGTCACTTTGGTCTACGTTGGAGGATGATTTGATGGATGACACCAACTGCTGCTCCAACATAAATAGCGACGAGCCCTTAGCATTATTGTCCAGAGGTGCATGTCCTTTCCTCTCTCCAGGCTTCTCTAAAGTTGCTTGATCGAGCAGCATGCCAGTATCTGTACACTGTGGAGGAGTGGATTCCAACTTGTCCTGGACCAAACCTGACGTGGTTATTTGTTGGAGCACATTACGAGCAGCAGCGCCCTTCGGACTTACCCAATCTACACTGTTAAAGATCTCCTGAACTTTGGCAAATGCCTCCACTGGTAGGCCATCCTTCTCCTCAAAACAGGACAAATCTACAGGAAGAACAGAAGCAGCAGTGTCCATCTCTGAGAAAAGAACCTACATCCAGGGCACAACTTTCATAAAATTACAATATGCTTCTAGCTGGAGAGTATCAACAAAACATAAACATGCATTTTATACGAACAATGATACCTCTGCTCTGAAGTCTTTTGGAAATTGATCTTTAGCATCCCATAAAGTATCAAGTTCATCACGATTAAGTATCAAGATGTTTGACCTAACAAAAGCTGTATTAAACATGGTCCTAAACATCATCTGTTCCCGCTCCAGGTCATCGTGCAAACAAATACATTCCAATACAACATCTCCTTGAATATGGCAATTGATATCAATCTTAACTAATTCACATTCTGCCTGAAATGACATTATAAAGATGTCAGATCAATTGTCAGCTGTGTCCTAAGTAAGAAGTTACGCACAACAAGAATGGGAAAGAGGGGGAGAGGGAGAAAGCCCAGATATAACTTGTACGTGCATTTTCGAGCATGTGCATATAAACATGGCCAAGTACAACCTAATTCAACTGGATTCTACTTGAGCAAAACCATAAGAAGAATGCCGGTCGAACAAAATATCAGAAGCTTCATTAGAACAACTTGTTAAATAGTCCAATTCTCTATAAATCAAACATCTCAGGAAAAAACGTAAGAAGAATTGCTCCTCCGGGAAAATGTGAAGCTGTGGAAAATCAAATATTAGATAAACATATTGATCTCATTGACAGACCATAAGTTGTACTATCAGAGATAAGTTCCCATATGTTCCTTGCTTCATTTTCATATTATTTACATGGGTTTTTTCAACTTTAGACAAAGTTGACAAGGTCTATATTCCTAGAAACAAGCATGCTTAATCAACAAAACAGAATAAAGATACCCTTCCTCAAAGTTAGCAGAAATCCTTTGTAAGTATAATATGTGAGGTGGAATAAACCTCAAGAAGGTTTCTTTAAACTCAATATAGATGGGTGTTGTAAGAGTAACCCCGGGAGTTCTGGAGGTGGTGGCATTCTCAGGGACAGTAGGGGTTCTTTTGTTTTAGCTTTTGCTGAACACTATGGCCTTTGTAGTAATAATGTGGCTGAGGCCAAAGCCATGTTAAGTGGCATGCAACAATGTATTAGCAAGGGCACCTTAAATGTCATTGTTGAATCTGGTTCTCAACTGATAGTAAATTTGATTAATAGCAAAATGAAACCACCTTGGCAGATCAAGCGTATCATAGATCAGATTGTGGAGCTCTCAAGCAATGGAAGTTTCAGTTTTGTTCATATTTTTAGAGAGGGCAACATGGCTGCGGATCAACTAGCTAATCTTTGTGAAAGAATGAGAGATCAAATCACTCTTGAGGAAGTTTCTGATTTACCTGAATATGTCAGAACTTCATTGAGGCTTGATCAAGATGGCATCCTCAATTTCAGACTTAGACCAAGGAAGAATTATTTTGTTATTAATGATGTTATTACTAGATAAAGCTGATTTTTTTGCAGCAATATGTATAGTTTCATCATGTAATACTCAATGCCTACAAAGTGTAATGGAGGAGTCCTCCCAACTTAGACAAGTTTTTTCTGGTCAAATGCTTATAAGAGTGATATGTATCATTCTTCTTCGTGTGTTGGAGGCTAAGGTCTATTTCCTCCTCCGTGTACTTATCCTTTTTGATTATCTACGGGTTGGGGTCTATGCCTAAACCCCACCATGGTTCTTTTGTTTAAAAAAGAAAAAAGAAAAGTATCATATGTTTTTAGTATAGGATAAACTATATTACCTGCTTGTAATGACGGACAACTTTATTCTTCTTTGGAGTTGAGAACAAAATTTTTGGCGATCGATCAGAAACTAGAAATGGATCCTGTCCATAGATACGAAATATAGGCCGGCAACCACCCTCTCCATCAAAATTAGGTATCGCCCTAATAATGATGCAATCCAAAGCGAGTGCTCTATCCAATGGAGGCCACTGCATGTTCACATTCCTCCTCGCTACATACTGTAGGTATCTTAGCTGAGAAGGAATTGGATTCAGTGGCTGCAGCAAGTACAAAAGCTCACGAGGAGCCTGCTTATAAATCATGTCTAAAGTCTTCTGCTCTCCAGTGTAATGTTTCCTGTATATCAATAATGCAGCCAACATAAATGCCAAAACTGGCCAACCACCCCGTTCACAATGCATTAAAAGCACGTTTTGCTGCCCAAGTGAGAGCCAACTTTCACTGGATCTTAGAAAATGGTGTATCACCTCCATTGAAAGCAAGGGACAACCCTCATAGTGCCGAGGGTAGTCCATTATTGTCAGATCATACTCAGACAGAGTATTTGCCATTGGGCTCTGTGATTCCCCTTCACGAAAATTAAAAACCAATATTGAGACGTCAGGGTAATGATCCCGAAGTTGACTAATCACACCTCCTACATAGCCTTTGTAATTTTCTTCCTCCCAAACATCAGTGGTGAAACAGCAATCAAACACTGCATATAAAGTAGAAGCAATTATTAGCGAAACTGATATACAACAGGCACTACCATTTTAAAGTCTCAAAGATTTTACTTTTATGCTGATAAAACAGAGATGATATGAGTCAGCTGTAATAATGTCAGCCTCCTACATAACGTCAAGCTCTAAACATCAACACATTTTCTCTTTCCATATTAGTGGTCTGTTTTTCTCCTTTTTTTAGAAAACAAATTTGGTTTCTGTTGTCGCAGTACTGTTTAAAACACTATAAGGAAGATTGCCAAGTCGTTTCCTGATAGTTTCTCATGTACTTATTTTTATGCATTACTTGTCCAGCACAACCACCCTTCGAACTAAATGTCCATACTTTGCAAAAGCACTATCCTGAGTTAGTAGCATAACATTAGAAATTCCATTAATTTTTTTATAAGTAACATCAGATATTTCATTAATTATACTAGTAACAAACAACAAGCAGGCTTTGGATTGTCTTAACACATTTTTCTCCCTCTTATTTTTCCAATGTCTCAATGAGGTCCCTATATAATACTTGAGTATGTTGGACGAAAAAGTTGAGCTGATTCTCTGCCAGTTAAGCTGCTTATGCTTCAACTCAGATCAGCTAGCATGCAAAATATTGTCAAATTGACAGCACTCGATATCGTCATCACAACATTAACATAATTACATCACTTTCCTAGTCCCAAGAGTACAAAGGGCATTGAGTTCGCCCTTCAGCTTAGTTGAATTAAAATCTTAGACAGTTTCTTCATTGCAAGATAACTTGCATTGTGCTATAACTCAACCCATCCACTCCAACTTAACATTCCCGTATTGCAGTCATTCAAATTAAACTAGTAACATAGACTGGTAAAATTCTTAATCAATCCCCAAAACAAAAACAAAAAAGTCAAGAGCCGGAGGCGGTTTTAGGATTTGAACTTTATGGTTTGACTTCGAAATTCTACCACAACCCACTTGATTTACTAAGTTCAGAATCTGTTCTTAATACTTATTTAGTGGATTTTTTTACCACATATGCAGAGTTCGAACCAAAGTTACTGAGTTTGGACGAACCCATAACTAATGGACTAGGTCCGCCTCTAGCTAAAGTCTAGTCTTAATTGTATTAAAGGCCAAAATACCTTATTCCGCAATTTCAATAACAATAAAGCTCCTTTTCAGCTGGCACACGGTTCAAAACTCGACGGATAATGAACTCACCCCTCTACGTATTGCAATACTTCAAATTATCTTAGTCGCATATAGTAGAAACATTCTTAATCAATCTAAAAATAGTTAGTCCACTAATCTAGTCTTAATTGTATTAAAGGCCAAACTACCTTATTCCGCAATTTCTATAACAAAAGAGCTCCTTTTCAGCTGGCAGGGTTCGAAACTCAGTGGATAATGAACCCGCCCCTCAACCTATTGCACTACTTCAAATTAAACTATTACCATATTGTATAAGTATTCATAATCAATCCAAAAATAGCTAGTCTGTCTTAATTGTATTTAAAGCCTAAATACCTAATTACTCAATTCTATAACAATAAAGTTCCTTTTCCATTTCCGCATTATAATTACATATTTCACAAATTGAAATACGAACAAAAAAAAAAATCTAAAATTCGTAAACTGTCTATCCATTCCAGCTCGATCTCAACAAACAACGAAAATAACATAATTTCCCAGAACATACATTAATTAAAAAAACACAGCTCCAGCTAAAAAAACAAAAACATAAAAAGATAATTTAAAAAAAAAACAAAAATTAGAACGTACCGTAAACTCTCTCGCAGATCTCCAATAGTCCATCAGGCGGCTTCCTATAAAACAATTTCCTTAGCAGTGCCATTGCCGCTTATTTTTCAATTCCAAAAAACCTATCTATATTTGTATAATTTATATATATCTATATATACAATATATGTGCGTATACGTACGTATACATATGTATGTATAATTTTGTGAATCTTTGTATTTGAAATGGAGAATTGTTGAAGAAGAAAAGTGGGGGAAAGGAAGAGAGCGTAGAAGCTGAGAGATGGGCTAGCGAATAAACAGGAACAAATCTGAAGTCGACAGTGGACACGTCAGATTTATTTTAAAACGTGTACGTCGCGAATGCATTTAGGACAAATTTAGAAATAAGGCAAACGTAGACTTTGGGAAACAAAAGTTTTATCTTCTAGTATTTCAGATTATATATATCCAATATTGGAAATTGGAAGTTTGTCATAAAATGGGAAATAATCTTTTTTAAAGTATATCCATATTCGAAGTCTCTATTTTCTGTTTTTTATCGTGTGTTTGTATTTATTTTGAGATCGATTAATTCGAATTCGCGCTCTGAATTTGCATTCTTGCATTCATTTAGGACTGTAACATGGTTCTTACCTAATTTTAAGTGTAATTTGTGACCATACAACAATATTCATAGTTGATGCTCATGCACTCATTTTTTATATTTCAAAATTTGTTGTTAACTACTCCTTCTTTCCTAATTTATCTAATGTAATTTAAATTTTGAAAGTTAAATAAAAAAAATGTTAGAATGTTTTATATATTTTTTAAATTACTAATTATTATGCATAATAAATATATTTATGTAGTTTTTTAAATATATTCTTATGTCGCTGTTATTATTTTTATATTTTCTGGTGATGGTACTGATGTATTTGCCTCTTTTCGTTTTCTTGAGCTGAGGGTCTTTCGGAAATAGGCTCTCTACTCCCTTGGGGTATGAGTAAGGTCTGCGTACTCACTACCCTCCCCATACACCACTTGTGAGATTTTACTGGATTGTTGTTATTGTAGTTTTTAAATATATAAATTTTATTTTAAAAAATTCAAAGATTTCATATTAGAATTTCTAATGATATAAATTTTAAAAATTAATTGTTGATATCGGAATTATGCCACATAAAACAGAACCGAGGAAGTGCATTTTATGCTATTGACAGTTTAATTGGCCCATGTTAATTGTCATGACAATGAGGCTCAGACCAAAGATGTCTTACAAGTAAAAGCTAGTAATCAAATATCATTTGTTATTGCCTTTTAGTAATTAAGTTTTTTGGTATAAATTGATGTGACGTGGTGAATGGAATGAAACAAATCTGTTTGCCTGGATTTTTATTTTTATTTTTTTTAAGTGTGGGGCATACTTTGGTGCCATAGGCTATTTAAACTTTTGATATTTCGAGTCATTTCCAACCCTAACACCAAATTTCACACCAAAATGGTGTAACACCAAATTTACTCCAACCATTACACCATTTTTTACACCAAATCTTCTCTCTCTTCTATATTATTATCTTCTATTTACTTTTCATTTTTTATTTCCTTCAAACTAATACTATCTTTTTTCTTTTTTCCATATTCATTATATATAATTCACATTCACCACTTATATAATCATTTATTACAAAATTATTTTAAAGGATAAATCAACTAAAAGTGAAATCATTGATAAATGGTTATATCTCTTTTTATACAAATATAATAATAATAAAATTAACTTATAGTTTTATATAAATATAATATATACAAAAAATAATATATCAAAAAATAGGATATAAATTAAAATTATAAAGATCTTAATATAAAAATTAATTATATACACAATATATGATAAATTAAAGTCCAAAAAATAAAAAGATTGAATAAAATAATAATAAACTAAATTTGGAGTGATGAATAGTATTATTCATGCTCTATAATGGTGCAAGATTTAGTGTTGCATTGGATTTGATGCAAAAAATGGTGCAGCCTAGAAGATGGTCTAAAGTGACAACTCCACTAATCCAGTGCATCAAGATATAGATTAACATAAAGATTGCGTTAGGTTGGACGTGGTACTTTTTTCTTTAATTAGATGTTTTGGATTTGTATTACATGCGTGGCCAAAATATTGATACAGAACGTTGCCTGGTTTAATCGGCCATGTGCGACGTGAATTCAAATTACATAGAATTTCGAAACGAATATCAGATATTGACTGAGAAATTAAGAAAAAAAAGTATGTTAACTACTTGACACAACTACGTTACAATCTATGATACAATAATAGAGCACCACGAGTTTGTAAGGATATATTGAGTAAGATTTGATGTTTGTTCACTTCTGTATTGAATATTATTATCTTTACTATATATATATATGTCGTTTCTTTTGTTTCGGTCACATTTTGCTTGCTATGGTAACTACTTTTTATTTCTGCTTTTTTTTTAATTTTTTCTTGTTGAGTCGGGAGTCTATCGGAAACGGTCTTTCTACCTTCGTAAGGTAGGATAAGATCTGCATATACTTTATCTTCTCGGGACCCCCATTTTATAGGATTTCACTAAATTTGTTGTTGTTGTTATTATTGTTTCCGAGCATTGTGAAATCCTTTTGTATGCACTTAACTTATTCAATCGAATACATGTTACCTCTTAGTAATAAGGTAGTGTGAGTAAATTTGTCCACCAAATTTTAAGTAGATTAAAAAAATAACTTAAAAGCTTTTCTTTTTAATTTCTGTTGAAATTGGAACCTTAATTTTCTATTATTTTTTTATCTGATTTCATTTATCACTGGCTCACACTCTTGGATACAAAATTTAAGACTTATTACAGTAAGAAATGGACAAAAAATTGCCTTTTTCCTACTTTCCCTTTCCTTGCTAGCTATTTCATGTCGTACATATATTTTCAAGGAATAAGAAACTTCTTCCTCTACTTCACGCAAAGTTCCAATGTTATACATTTAGGAAAGAAACCAAAAACTTACTAGCTTACTTCACCATTCATAATTGCCAAAATGGTCCTAATTATGCAATCTTATAAGAATGAGAAAAGAAAACTAATTATCAAATAATAAATACTTTCATTCGGGCACAAATAATAATGTATTTGTAGCATCACTGACTATTGCAACTTATAGTGATACCACTAGAAATATAGGGGTCATTTTTGTCTTTGGAAAGTGGAAACAAATTTTTCTACGTATTAACACAAAATATTTAACATTTTAAAGACTACGCATGCATATATCAATTTTATACATCTATGTGCTTTGGACGGCGGGAGGATTTCCTTAAAAAATATTAATAAGTAGCTTTAGCAAAATGTAAAACGTAAAATGACATTAAGATACTAGAAGAAAAAGATTTTCAACTTTTCAGCTTTTCAATATAGTTGATGCATAATTCTTGTAACAAAAGGTTGGAGTATGATTGCCCTACTAGTCGGAACACAACATATCTAATATCGAGAACGTCCTTAGAAATATTCACTATTTTGATATCTTTCAAAAGTATAAGAGTAAAATATTCGCTTCATATGAGTCATTTGAAGCAGCTACTTCTAATAAAATTGTTAGTCTTGTGTAGGGTAATTGATTGTCTACCTTTGATAGATTTATCGCTTCGAGTAGGACAAACGTGAACACAAAATTGAAATTGGATTTGTATTTAGAAGAAAGCATGCTACCTTGAACTTAATCATTTGAAAGTTTTTTTTTTTAGAAAATCGTAATTGACCAGTATTAGTAATAAGAATAAGGTATTGCAGGACACAAGATCCCTGTATTTTACCAAAGCTACTCTATGTATAAGTCAAAATCTGAACAAAAGAATCTTACTTAAGGAAGAACAACCAAGAGTCAACCAAGCCGAGGTCACGTATGGGAAGCAATACACCGACGAGTGATTCAGCTACGATCGAGGTCAAGCATTCAATTCGGCCTGAACGGCTACTTCAACACTTAGACATTTTAGAGAAATATTCTATAGGATATTCCAAGAATTTAGGTACTCCGGTTAAGGACCGCTAGGTATAGAAAGTGTTTTATGTAAATATCATGAGAGAGAGTAACTGAAGGGGGGCTGAGAGGAACACACACACATACATACATATCTCTAAAGATGAAGATGGACCTTCATCTCAGGCTCCTCGCCAAGAAGAAAGGAGAAAAGAGTTTAGAATCTCGGTATTCATCTATAATTTAACTATGTCAAATGTATGGAGGTCAGCCTTGTTCAAGAACGGTGACTCTTTTCATTTATGTATTCCTCGCTGTCATCTAATATTATGCGTGCAATCATCCTTTTCTTACATTATGGAATTCAATCGTAACTATAACCAAATTTTATGTTCAACTATGCTTGTTTATTCTTATCTTCTATCTCAAATCTAGGATAAATTATCTTTGGCTAGGATTTGCCTCAAATCTTCTTATTTAACTAGTTCAACAAAAAGGTCTAACACTTTTTAATCAAACAATTTGGCATCGTCTGTGGGGATTTTCTAGCCAAAGTTTTAGTTTCCTCTATATCTAAAGTCAGTCAGAGTTCCACCTCCCATTTGTCGTAACTTCGCTCTCTCGTTACAAACACCAATTTGAGAATTTTGTAGGCAAGCTCTTGAAATAGCCTAACCAACCAAGGTCAGATCTTTGCACAAAATTGAAATTATGTTTGATATCTACACAAAAGCCACATCTCGTTGTAGGGATGGGTCTGGTATGTCGTGAGTGTGAGTTGTCAAAGTAGGATTATAGCTGCTACGCACTGAGTACGTCCACAATCCTATTGTTATGTTAACGTTAGATACCAATCTATACTTTATGTACACCGCTCTCTCTCTCTCTCTCTCTCTTATGAAAGGATGATAGCCTATTGTGTAATTCCTTGAAATAACAAGCTTGTCATGCCCGTATGTTTGCGGTATGACTCATGTTTCCCTTATTTTGTGCACCTGGGACTAGATCCGAACGAGACTCGAACTCGAGATCCCAACGGGCGAAGTAAGTTGTCAGCTCGTAAGATGCCCAGATTCGACTAACGACGAAGCTAAGCACGAGGCCGAGATCAAATTTGAAGTCAGCATTCGAGTACGGGGTAAAAAAAGTCGTTCTACAACGCCATTATCCACTCGTCAGCCAACTAGGTCGAGGTAACAAACGATTTCATATGGGTTTAACTTGCTATTTTTCTTTGAGTGGGATAGGAACAAGAGCATTCTCCCAAATATGCGAACAGGGAACAAACGTCATCAAAACAACACACCAAGAAAACATTCCATGCCATATC